GCGCGAACGCTGCGGGCACGGGTTCACGAGGCACGGGGTCACGAGGCACGGGTTCACGAGGCACGGGTTCACACGAGGCACGGGTTCACGCGGGCACGGGTTCACGAGGCACGGGATCACGAGGCACGCGCACGCTGGACGCGCACCCAAACGGACGCGCGCGGACGCTTGGACGCACGCTGTGGCGTGGACTGTCGAGTGTGCGAGGTGGCGAGACTGCATCGGGGCCCGCGGGCCGGAGTGGGCCAGGCGTGGGGCTAATGAAGAGTGGCGGAGATCGTGGGGCATAGCGACGGAGCCCCCAGTCCACTCCTCGTGCCATGCAACGTGCACGCTAACCACGCGTGCGTACGGAACATCGGAAATGGACAGTCATGCCACTCGGTGGGTTTTTGCTTGACAGGGCGCTGGAGCGTTGGTGTTGTCGTTAACGCACTGCCCTAACTAATAACCCGGCAAACTAAGTTCGATTCCCGACCCCGGTTAACATCAGTCGCGATAATCTGAACCGGTCCAGGGGCTCCCCTAGGTCGAATCAACATTCAATGAGTATCAACGCGATGTGCAAACCGTCAGTAGTTGGGGAGACAAATGCAGCCGGGCGTGGTTCCCATCACACCAGCCCCTCGCGATCCGTGCGGGCATTCCAGAGGTGGCCACTAACCGCACGTGTTCCCAACATCCTGTGTAGGCTACACGGGGATCTTCGTCCTTGTACGCACGCGCACGCGTGTTGCAGCTGTGATCGCGCGCGTGGGGCATCGCAACCCACCTGGGGTGGATGTCCACCAGCAGGATGAGCGCGTGCATGGTGACCACGTCGATGCGCTGGCAGTGCGAGCGCGCCACGCGCAGCACCTTCAGGTAGGTGAGGCACAGCACCAGCAGCGACAGGAAGAAGGTGAGCGCGTGGTAGGCGAGCGAAAAGGCGGCGAACGATGCCGAGGACCCGCGGAGCGCGCTCGCGGAGCCCGTAGACCCCAACGGGCCGCCGGGTGCCGACGGCGGCGGCGGCGGTGGCGGCGGCGGTGGCGACAGCGGAGGCCCCTGCACCAGGGTGCACGAGGCGTACGAGGGCCCGTAGGCCAGCCACGACGGCGAGTGAGCGAGGGCGGCGGCGGGGAAGGCGAGCGAGTGAAGCCACGCGTAGGCGAGGACCAGCGCCGCGTCGCGACGCCGCATGTGGGCGGCGTAGCTGAGGGGGAAGAGGACAGCGACCCAGCGGTCGAGGCCCAGAGCAACCACACTGAGCATGGCGTTCGTGGTGAGGAAGGTCTCGGCGAAAGCGGCTGCCTGGCAGAGGCTCTCTCCACACGGCCGCGACGATGACGACGATGATGACGACAAGGAGGAAGATGACGACGACGACGACGATGATAAGGACGCGTGCTCGTCCTTGACGAACACCTGGTGCTGATTCTGCTGGCGCGGGTCGTTGGAGTTGGACGCCGTGAACGGGGCGGTGGGAGTCCCGGTGTGGCCGGAGCGAACGACACCGGCCAGGGTGAGGGGCATGTTGAGCAGGGTAAGCAGCAGGTTGGAGCAGGTGAGGTTGAGGATGAAGACGCCGGGAGCTCGCTTGCGCAGCTCGCTGCTGGCGCCGTAGCAGCAGAGGACCGTGAGGTTTGACACGAGTGAGACAATCAGCACCATCGCCGTGGACAGCGCCAATAACAACTCGACGGTATCCATTACTCTCTGTCTCCCACTCGCTAATTTCTCTTTCTCTCTCGAGATGATTAAATTGGCTGCTATTATAATTGTCGTTTCAAAGAGAGAAGGCAATCAATGTAAGCGCACGCGGCCACGATGTCAACTCGACGAGAGCAGCAGTTGTTGCGGTGAATGACAGAGAGACGAGAGTTGACGGAAGACGAGATCAGGAACGCGCCTCCGCCGGTGATGTCAAGAGACTGGAAACGCAGACGAGGCGGCGGTGTGCGGCTGACAGATCCGTGTGCTGTGCCGGCCAGAGCGCCCGGCCGCTTTGAACGGACGGATTCGCGCTGGGGGGTCTTGGGAGACACACACGGACACACACACAGCGACGCGACGCGACCGTTTGGAGCAGGTTACTGCAACAAGGAGGGGAGGCGTGAAGAGATGATCCCCACCACTCGTGCATGTTTACTTGAACCAGGGAGGCGCACGGGACTGCAAGGGTTAACTTGGATTGTGAGAGGAGGAAGAGGAGGAAGGTGTTCCTGTAGTGGCGACTCTAACGAACAGCAGCGCCACCTCCCCCCCCCCCCCCCACCTGTCCTCGCTGCCCGCCGCCCCCCTAATTAGGGGCAACTTCCAATTTGGCTAGGAAGGGAATTAAGTTCACGGAGGTAATCACGAACAATCCCGCAGAAGCTACCGCACCTCGCTGTCGTGTATTTCGATTTACCAGGTACAGTGCTGTAGCTCTAGCATTGTGGACGCACAACCTTCAAAGTCTATTCCTACGGCATCCCATCCACTAACAGTGATGGTTTCAGGGCTTCACCCTGGCTGCCGATCTGTGGTTGCAACTCCAATGTCCGTCTTGCTATCCTGCCCTCCTCCATCCTGCACACGTGTCCTGCCGGTCACACCGCCTCATCTCTTTGGCCACTAAACTTCAGTGCTGCATTTAATTCAAAACGTCAAAGTCACGCTGTACCCCCATAGTGGCTCTCGTATCCTCTGCGTCTACCTCTATTCAAACGCCAGAATAATTTATTTTATTTTATATGCATCTGATGAATATACCGATATGCTTTTTAACTACCAAAGAAAGCAAATGAAAGCGTTATTTTAATCTAGAGAATGTCAATGTAGATCAATTAACGTCACTAACTTCAACGTGTAACCCGCAGCCGCACTCAGTATTCGCTCACGCTCGAAGGTGCCTGGAACAACAGACACGCTGGGAAGTAGCCACACGACGAGTCGGTGCCCACAATTGCCCACGCTCCGCGGTCCTATAGATATTAAGGTGTTATGGACCAATTAATGAGTATTACACGTGGAAGGAAACCGGAGCACTGGGAGATAACCCACGCACCTGGAACAGGTGGGGTGGGGGGGTCCACATTTTGCTGAACCACTTTCTCTTGGCAAGCCAGCAGGGCATGGCGTCTCGATGTCCACGTGAATGGAGCTTCACAACACTTGTTTGATCCATCAACCCTCGCCTGAGCAATGCTGGATTACAGGCGTGTATATGAAGGTGTATAACCTTTAATGCCACACTCACCCAAGAATTACCGCGAAAAATGAGCTATGGATGTCATATTTGTATTCCGCTGCCGAGTCTGCTGAAATAGGGCGCCACGATGGCTCGGAGATGTTAACTACCTCACCTGGTATGCAGGAGGTCGTGGGTTCGATCCCGACCCTGGAACCTGTATGTTTGGAGTTTGTATATTGCGGTTGCGTGGGGTTTTCTCCGGGTTTTCCCCTCCACATTTAGAAGCATGCGTTTATAGAGAATTTGGCTGCAATAAACTTCCACCTGATAAGCCACTTCGTTGAGTCATCATTGGCGATAGCCAGCTTGATTCTGAAAAAGAGCTATATATCTCAGTGTCTTACCTGCTAAAATAAAACTTGAGTTTATGGTAAAAAACACCATCGTGTTTGTTGTGCATAAACTACGGCCCAGTCTGCAGCAGTTCTGGTTTGACCAGCCATGACGTCGGCTGGGAATATGAAGGAGCAGTGATCACTGGGTATCACCAGGACGCATTCTAGATATTTTCAAATGCGACGCACAACACATGGAATTAAGACTCGAGAGAAATTAAATTAGGATTCCATGGACTCAGTAGAGTGAGGAATAGAAACCAAGTCCAAAAATGGATATTTTAGTAATCGTATGGGTCAGTGTTAAGGTCAATATGGAGACGTTTCGTCTCAGAAGCAAACATAGCATTTTAGAATTAGAAAGTACTTTACAGATAATTATTCATTTCATATTAAGGCTCTCCAACCACTGCAAGCCTGAACAATCCAGGACGTGTAAATAATCCAAGGACGTGTTAATTAAATACGTTTGGCAGTGATTAAGATAAGACGTATTGTGTCGGTGTAATGTGCTAGTTCAGCCACTCACCTTTCTTGTGACCTATCTATGTTGCACTCACAGAACCTCTACTAGGGGTCTGTACCAAGCACCGCTTGCGAAGACTGTCCGTTCAACCGTTCCGTGTGCAAACGAGTGTGAAGTGGGCTACTCACACAATGCTCCTACACGAGATGACCAGAACATGTCAATGTCACGTCGGCCAAATTAATAAATTATACTTGAGGCCAAAATACACATCATTAATAGAGGACTTCAATGCAGAGATAAAAGGTGCAGCGATGAAAGGATGACTGGTATATTTAGCGTAAGAGTAACTGATGACAGCGCTGGAATATTAGTTTGCAGCCAGCAGGAACTTGAAGATAATGAACACATTTTCCATGAAGGCGTCTAGAAAGCTCAAATGTGACATTGATTTAGGTAATAACTTGATGTAAAAAATAAGCAAACGTATGTTACAAGGTCTCCCCAAGAATGGTCAATCCTTTCTAAACAGCAGGTAGAAAAAAATGGTTGCGCAGAGGTCGTGGCGACCTTGAACTTTGCACCTTTGAACTGAAAATCAATCCCCAAGCGCGATACTGCAGTTGTGAATGACCCCGAGGTTGTTTCACCGTTTATCAAAGGGATAGCGGCGAGAATTCACGGCTTTTAAGCTTTAGTGGGACTGGGTCGATGGGGGGTAATAGGGTGGAAGTGATAATGAAGTGGTCTTATCAATAAAAACAAAACAATTTAGCAAACAACATTGAGCATACCTTGAGGAAAGCTGAGTTTCACTTGGCTGGAGAGGTTTGTCAATGTGCAGAGGCTAAAGAGGCCGAGTTGTGACATCAAAGCAGACAGATCACTCCAGACAAACACCACGGCTCGGCATGTCATTTACATAAACATGCGCGAGCAGCATTACAATTACTTTGTTTTATAAATCCAAGAAACACCCATATTCATCAACGTCCTTGTAAAGGGTTTATTACAAAAAAATGACTGCATTTTTTGAACAAAATAATGCCATTCACCGCATCCGTAAACGGCACAACATGAGGAAGTGACTCGGCTAAACAAAGCCTGCGTGCACGACACAAAGAGGCAAAACTCAAACAAGAAAAAACCACACACACACAGAGGGATAAAGACAAACGGTGTGAAATAAACTCTCAGGGCACAAAAGGCAGTGGCTGTCACGCAAGTCCAATAACTCTGGCAAGTCCAAGATGCAAATGAATCCACGGGTAGCTAAACAGCTCAAATATGATCCAACTCACGGCTGCATTAATTTACAGAGCCCAATGGTGATTCTTGCAGGCAATGTTTACAAAGACCTGATAGAAAAAAAATCCATATTGTGAATGTAAGAGATCCAGTGGTATTATTTGAAATATATCATCATTGTGTATAGGTGGCATCGCTCATATTAAATATTAAAATATGGCCCGCAACGGAATTGTAAATTAATGTATCTATGTCAATAAAGAATTCCAAACCTCCCTAGCAAAACAAGTGTAAAAATTTCAACGACACCTTGCACAGCTAAGTAAAAGGTATCACTTGAAAACAAAAGCATAAAAAATAATTAACTCAAACGGACCATGCTTAGCAATTTAAGAAACTCAGTTACCTGCAGTGATTCATTGAGTTAGCTGCAGTGATTCCAATTTTAATGTATCCTGAAAGTATTATTTGTTTCCGCACATTAATTCACTCGATAAGCTAGCATGCTAATCTACAAAACTGACAAACAGGGCACATTTATCACTCCAGCCACTTGATATCGGTAACGCTCGGCCCTATCTTAATTCTGTCCATGAAGCAAGGAAGCAAGGTTATATTGAGTTACCACATTTCACTGTGGTCTACAATTCACCCTGGAAAACTAAGTTAATAGGCACATGCACAGCATAAGGAACTACTTGGCAAAAATGTGATATAATGCCCTAAGCAAAGACAAAATGTGCGTTGTAATCTCAATTACGGCATACGCCGCTATCTCTAAGACTGAGAAAGGTGAATCTTTAATACTGGAAAGGAATTCTGGGTCTTTATACTCATTAACCTTAAGCCAAGCAGTTTTCCTAATGTCCGGGCATTGCCACACACCACCGATATGCATTGTGAATTCAAATGCACCAACCTTGAGCTTCTTATGTTCAGTGAAGGTAAACATCTTCTTGGTTCTTTCGGTAAAGTCACGTAACGTCGTGAGAATTTTATTTTATCGTTTATTTTTTGTTTATTTGTATTATTTCCCTTCTACGTGACTTTACCGAAAGAACCAAGAAGATGAATCCCTGCAGTAACGAAAGCTTTAAATCGAAGGTAAACATTTTTTAGTGTTTAAATTGCCTATAACGATTCATCGCTTACAATCAATTCTTACACTTCGGATAAATTCGTCGAAATGTGCGTGTAACAGTGTATTGTGAGAGATGCAAAGTAATGCGAACTGTATTCTGCTACATGTAGGTTTATGGGCAGGAAGGGATTATGCAACACAGCTGAACTAACAAGGCCGTACAGAACAAAACACAACAATGCAAAAAAAAAACCTCTAGAAACAATTGAACCACAAACAAGACAAAAACACATTCTTGATTCTTGAATCGAAACGAGACTGGAGGGAGGGGCGGGGGTGCTCGTGAATTCTTACGCGACTATTGTTTGGAGTGCTTATTATTTTCAGGTGGCAATTAATTCCTCCTGCCTTTTACAGTGGGCTTCCCTATCAATTGCCGACGTCCATCTCTCCATCGTCGTCGTCGGGCGGCTCCGTGAAGGCTGAGAAGCTGATGGGCTGGCACTGGAGGGTGCGCAGATTGAGCAGGCAGGCCGTCTGGGTGGTCGAAAACACCGGCACGCACACCAGCAGCACCCTCTGGCCCAGGGGTCCTGCAAGCCGCGTGAGGGGGCGAGAGGAGGTTCGCGTAAAGAGCGCGTGAGCACGCGCGCTCACACCGATCATGCGGTACACGTGATTGAATTTGTTTAATCTGTTTGTTTTATATATATGCTTAGTTTGACCTAATAATGTATTGTTTTAGCCTTACCTTGCCCATTGTTGTTTGTAATTTTACATTTGCGGTTTAATTTGCTTAAGTCTTTATTTTTATTTGTCTCACTTTAGGACCTGTTTGCTGCTATGATATTTGCTGGTTATCATGATTAATTGTGAGTTTTAATTAATTAGCACGATAGAACGTTTCATTGTTGTTTTAAAAAAAATACGGCTGCTGGTCTCAATGGCCTCTTAAAAATAATTTAATAATAATTTTCAGCCACTGTCCATCCACTGCTGGATGGCCTCCCCACGCCACGTCACCGGGGTTATTTGCCAATCCTTCACCACGCTGGTCAGTGCGGGTTGGCGAAGGGGGGAATGGCCCACGTCTAGTTCAGATGGCAGTGATGTTAGCACCGTGGCCAGGAAATGAACTCGGATCGCCGAATTCGTAGCGCAGTGCACTAACCAGGACGCCACGGCTCCACTAACAGGCTCTTACCTGGCCTTCAAGAAGGCATCGTGCTACGCTGTGAGCGAGAGGCCTGTGTTTGTAAAAATGTGCTGCAGCCGAGCAACACACGCAAGCTCGTTCTACTACCCCGCGGAAGCAGATATGCATAATGTATTTATAAAAGACATCGGGCCCCATGCTAACGCATACGAGCACACACGCGGTTGATCACGTACACATGCACACAGGCAAGCAGGCATGCATGCTTGCAAACAAATCTCTCCCCTGTGCCAACAGAAGATCGGTAATGTACAGGCAGAGACAGAAAAAAGACCAATGGCCTTGCATTACTCATTTGCGGGGGTTACCATTCGTGCTTGTAAAGTCATTGTCAACACCGAGCCCACGGGCACATACAAACCCTGCCCACCTGTGATGGTTTTTGTTTGGAACTTGGGAGCATTGCCGCTGAAATAAACATCTGGACAGCAGTTGAGAATGAATGGGTCTTTGTGTTTGAAAGGATAACAGCCTGCACAAGGGGAGAAAAAAGAGGTAAACATTGAATAAGAGGATATAACTGAATATACAGTCAACTCTTGATTTTATTTGCGGTAATGGTGAGGGTGGGGGGGGCAGGACAAAACCAAAACACACGTAATGCAAAACATTTGCAGATTAGGCAAATATATATAATGATCACCTATGTAGAATGTGCATTCTATTTTTATTGTTTAAGATCATCGGCTTATCTGCCTCTCATGTTTGCGATCACGTGAGCAGTGAGCAATAACGGTACCAGCGTGCAGAGAAAATATAATATTCAAACGGATAATCCACCCACGGATAATTAAGTGAACTGTATATAATTGTATCCATGTATTTGTTTAAAAACCTTTTTTATAATTACAAAGAGCATTATTCACGATCCATTAAACCAACGTGTTGAGTGTCCAGCGATAAGCAGGGCGAGCCCTGTATAAAACATGAGCTCATTATAATTTGCGCTGAAAAAATATATAAATGCACGCTTAGATCATCCCCGGGCCCTTGTGGAATGGGAGATTCGTGCGTTTGGCGATACAAAAGAGATAGCACACATCCTTGCAAAGTGGTTCCGATTCCTTAATAGTTGCAGCAACTGCACATTCAGTAACAGTGAGCAGACGTGCCCCCCCTATGGTTTCTGAATGTTTTGCAGACTCCAAAGACAGAAAATATTGTGTTGGGGTAATAGACGTTACATAGACACACAAGTTAAGTTTTGTATGAAACGGTGGCTGTAATATAATGAACGACAGTTTATTTATTACCCGATTAAAATATGAAGGAATGCCTTAATAAATAACTGATACAACTGACAGGCAGAAATAATGTAAAATTAATACATTTGCAGTCTCGTAACATGTATGAAAGGCCTCCGTTGGTATTTTACATTTCTGTACATCGGGCTGCATTGACCTTTGCGTGTTACCCCCCTCTTTATGTGTGGGCTCTCCAGTTTCCCCGCACACACCCCTCATCAAGAAGGAATTGGCCAAACTTCCCAAACACAACGCTCCTGTGAATTAGTGAGGCTTCCCAGACAAATACGTGCCATTATCATTATTATAGCGACATTCAGTGCACTTCCTTCAGTACCCATTTAAAAAAAAAACAATACACCATAGCTAAGATTCAATCAAACACTGCCAACTCCTCAGAAGTTGATAGAACCTGATAGAATCCATTGCAATCAATGGGACCCAAGTGCACACTGAGAGCCTTTCATAAAAAAAAAGCTCTATATGCTGCTTCCTCTTGTTTCATACAGCTGATGTAGATGCAGAGCAACAACTACAATTTCACATTCAGGTGGTCAAGCGAGATAACCGCGTCAGGAGTAGCGGAGTGGTGCATCGTCGCTGTGATGCCTCCCTCGTATTTGTGGATCGGGCATTGCATCGTTAGATGTTGTATGGTCTGTTCCGGATGAGCACAGTCGCACACAGCAGAGTTTTTAATTTTACATTTGTGCGTCAGGTATTCGCATCTGCCATGGTTTGTGCGAATGCAGTTTAGGGTGGACTATGGCTTTGTCGAAGATCAAACCCTGTGTGGCGAGACCGGGTCATCCGGAGGGGTGGTGAGAGAGGAGATGGGCACCCACCTAGCGTGTCTGGCGCTGTGGGTGCCATGTGGCTGGCTCGCAGGGTCCACTCGAGGATCTGCAGGTGGTCCTCCATGCCCGAGTACTTGTAAATGTCCAACACATTCTGGCCAGACGTGCCCAGCAATCTGCGCATGTGTGCACACAAGTGGGGGTTTCTGGTTCAGTGTTTGTATGCACACCAAGGTGAGACTTGACAACGGTGCTGTTTCAGAATCAGAATCTTTATTCATACTGGAGTAATCCGATGAGCTATAAAGCTCTTTTTCACATATGTCCAGGAGAAAAAAAAAACCCACCTCAAGACGCATTCATTTTCTCTTGCTTTCGATTCTCTAAATGAGCTCCTGAGATGTGTTTATTTATTTATTTTCGTGATGTACAGCATTTTTTAACACTTTGTAGAACGACGCTTTAGAAATGTCATGTATTATTAACTGATATATAAGATTTTACGTCATTGAACGTGTAGTGAGATCACTGGATGTCACCATGTTGTGGGTGTAGTACCGGCCCTAGAGGGGCACGGTGTGTGTTGAGTAATAGCGCTGGATGGCTTCATGCTGTAAGTGCATTGCCGGCCCTACAGGACACGGTGTGTGGGTGGCCGACCAAAGGGGAAGGTCGTGTGAGGCCATGGCACTCTGGTTGACCTGGGAGGACACGTGACCGGCTAAGATGACAGAGGGGCCCCCTAGGGGGGTCATGTGATAGGGACCCAGGTCCTTCCCGATATTTCTGGAAGGTGGACGTGGCCAAGGGCGGAGCCGGCCACGCCGCAGAGAATATAAGCCGCGTCCCGAGAGGGACCGGGGTTGTTCATCCTGGGAAAATAACCCTTCGTCTACGATCTCCATTCTACGAGTCTTCCAGCAGGTGGACCCGGGCAGATGCTGTTGGTCCCGGGTCCGTAGTAACAGTTATGTGGTAACTAGTGTAGTAACTAGTGTGGTAACTAGTGTGGTAACTAGTGTGGTAACTAGTGCAGTTAGCCGGGTGGTCACCACCTGAGGTTGTTATTCTGTTAAGCGGACGTTACCCCGTGTGTTGGAACTAAATAAATGCGCTGCCTCCAAAGTCTACGTCTGCGACTCAGTTGAACCCATTACAAATGAATAAAAATGCGATAGCGTTTGCATGGGTGGAGCGATGGCACAGTGGTTAGTGTGTACTGCACTGCTACTTGAGTTCGATTCCTGCCCAAGGCTAACATCACTGGCAAGTTTTATCAGAACCGCTCCTGGGATTTGCACCCAACTCAATCCCCTGCACATTATCTCTATATATATCGTACTACGATAAATATTATCTATGCCTCGAGTTTCCTGGCTGGCTGCTGGCTGCGCTCATCTCCATTCCAAATATAACTCTGTTGTTCGTGGCTGCTGTGGGCCATTGCCACTGAAACTAGCTGGGTAACTGGCGACAAGGATTTTCCGTGTAACAAATAAACGTGAAATTGAACGGCGGAAGACATACTAGATAGCGACGAACAACAGGTGGGCATCGCTAAAATTGGTCTAACTTTTCAATTTGCGCTCCTATTAATGTAAGTCTTTCACCAGAATATTCTTGAAATCTCAAGACAATGTTACAAAAAAATCACAATACTTATTACCTTGGTATTGTATTAGACATCAAAGCAGATGACGTGCAGTGCAGGATTGTGAGAAGAGTATGAAAATGACAGCTGTCTCTTATTTTCCACTGCAGACTAACGGGTTCTCTACTCGTACATATAAACATCACAAGTGTCTGTCTGTCAGTCACGCTCTGAATCTCCGAAACGGTATGCTGGAGGTAAACACGTATTCAACAAAACTTGCCAAGGACATTCCTGGTGTTTAAATTTCCCAAAAAAATTCCCTGACATTTCCACCACGACTTCGGAACATCCAATGACTGGCCATTTGTAATTCTTGATGTCATTGGAACGCTTCCTGCAATTCAACACTCAAGCTGGATGCAGGAGTTGGCGATAAGTGTTATTTGGATTAAAACAAGGTCCGGCTTTAAGCATGTGCGAATGTGTTTTGTCCGTGTTGTGCATGTGATGTGTGTCTATGTGTGTGCATATATTGATGTTTGAATGAATGTATGCCCTACGAACCCGGCGACCTGGGTTTGATTCCCACTCACCGTCAACACCAGTGACAATTATCTGAACCGGTCCTGGGCCTCCCCTAGGTCGACTTAGCCTCAAATTAGTATTTAGTGCGGTGTGTAAACATCGCCACTCGGGAGACAAAAGCGGCTGGGAGTGGTGCTTGCCACCCACCTCTTCTCGTGTACCGTGCCGGCCTTCATAGGTACTCGTTAACAGCACGTGCCCCAACAGTATGTTAAGGCTATATGGGGGATCTTTGTCTTTGCATACTGATGTTTATATGAATGTATGTGTATACAGTATGCATAACTAATGTACATGTACTCACTCAATCTCTCTGGCCCGTCTATGTGCTGTAATGAAGCACCATTGCCTGAAATGTCACCTATGATATAATTTAAAAGCAGTGTTATTGATGAATGTGTTGAGTTTTTGTTGTTATTAATATAAATGTCCACGTGTATGGATTAATTGGTTCATACACACGTGTGTGTGTGTGTGTGTGCGATGATGTTTATATGTACAACTCCGCCTTATATGACTACCTGGTGTGGTGTGTAAACATCGCCTCTGAGGAAACAAAGGCGGTCGGGCGTGGTGCTGGCCACCCACCACCCCCTTGTGTACAGTGCCAGACTTCATGGGTGCTCGCTAACAGCATTTGCCCCAAAAGTCTGCTTAGGCTATACGGGGGATATTTGTCTTTATATTTATAATGCATAATTCAGCGAACACACATTTGTCTAGGTTCGTGACATCCATCACTTGCATATCACTTAAGTTATAGCCTATCCAAATGCATGGGCGGTGCTATTTATGTATTTTGCATATGTAAATGAGAAACATCATGCCGGATAAGGAGACAAAGCTGTAGAGAATACCACTCATTGTTCTTCCCTGTGTATCACCTTCCACCTTTGTCTAAACATAGGCCACATTTGTTTCAGTCACTGTTCTTTTGTATGAAGTCTATATCAGAGCTCAAGGTCAATGTTTGCGATTGCAATCATTGTTTCGTTACACGAAAATATGTGGGTCCACACTGTGACATGTGCCAAATTGAAAAGATACCAACACAATTAACAGGACCGACTGTAACGTGAATAATGTCGTTTAGCTTTAGCTTGAGGAATGCAACTGTTGGTTGGAGAGAGCAGAGAAATGGATGGGCACTTTGTGCTACCACTCGACCACCATTAAGATGCTCGTTTAAAACTAAAAACCGGTGGTGATCAAGCAGTGGTCGTCGCACCATCAGCATGAGCCATTGTACAACAAATGAAATGAAGGCACCCTATGTCCCAATTTCCCCCTCTCTTCAAAGCCCAACACTCAGGCTGTACCCCCTCCCCCCCGCCCCCGCAGTTGCACGACCAAAACTCTCGATATATACTCCACTTTGATTAACTCATGCCAACAACTCCTGGACAAACAATTCAAAACAAGCGTATCGAATGATGACCCCGATGACACCTCCAGCTTGGCTACCACCAGCCCTACCTCCCCTGCCCCAGTATGGGTGGTGGTGCCACTCACCGGACCCCGGCGATGTTCGCTTCGTATGGGTTCGTCTCCAGGCGCAAAGTGACGTGGGAGGCGGCACGCGGGAACATGCAGCGGTGCAGCGGCTGCTGCGGCATCATGTAGTTGGCGGGGTCAAACTCGCCGGGCATCACGTCCACATCCACAGACGCCTGCGGGGGGGGGGGGGGGCCCACGCACAGTCGACACGGCAAAAGGCGCATGACATCACCGCTCTGCGCACTCAAAATATAGCACAAACGGGTGGTGGCGGGTTTAACGACACATTTATATTTACGCGATCTAATCCAAAAAACCTTTATTATGGACAATTTCTACATTACGAATCTGTCTCAATGACAGTTACTAACATAAATGCAAGTATAAAGCCCTTCTGTCACGTCATTGCCAGATGAAAACCTCATGACGCTGTGTTTAATGTGGGGGTTGTTTTGTCATACTTCACCACGCTGGTCAATGTGGTTGGTGAAGTTGCAGTACATCGATATACACATAATACAGTACAACAATGGATTTGCAGCGCTGCCCTCTGCTGCCTATAATCATAATTAATTGTTTATTTCATGCCTCCCATGCAATAAATCTGGAGGTGCTGGAACAAAGGGATATTTAAAATAATTACTCACAAAGAAAGTGATTGCAGAACTTATGCAAAATTTTAAAAGTAGAGTGTATACGGTATACACAATGGGAATAAACAACATTGAAAACCAAAAATTATGCTTGATAGTACTCTCTTTTGTCAATATTGGAATTATTCATATGCCATTTTTAAATAATGTCTTTAAATTTTGCTTTAAAGTTGTCAGTGCACTCAAATATCTCAGTAAGCTGTTCCACAACTTTTGTGCCAAAGCACCAAATGCCCATTCAGTAATCCTTAATGTTGTCCACTTCTCATAATGATAATGAAATAAAAATGTACCTTAGCTGGAAATCGTAAAAAAATATTGCATAATTATTACAAAAAATAATACAAGCAATGTTGTTGAAATAACGTCTGAAGCAGACAATTACTAAAATAGCAAGAGAGTAGGCTAATGCATGAGAGGCCCTGGGCAGGAGTGATTGACTGATTAACCGATTAGATTTTAATAATTAAATCAGTAGCAACATGCTGCTGAATTCCACAGAAATGTATTCCTGTGGCGATAAGCTCTAATTAGCCATGGGAAGACTTGCTCATTAAGACCTGCCGCATGCTGGCTTGGGTGACCAAATGGAGGATTGGTGGGGGTGGCATTTCGGTGGGGTGGTGGTAACGGTGATTGGTGGCAGGGGTGCGATGTGCTGACTGGGAGCTGTTGCAAAAAAAGCAAATCCGAGGGAACGTTAACTGTTTATTTGCAGGACTTGAGTAGAACCTCCTGGAATGATTACAGAGCAGGAGCGAGGTTTTCTCAGTTGGTACGCAGCCAATTGTGTTGCGACTGGGGTCACCTCGCCGCTCGTCCATGTCATTCAAAGAATAAACCACGAGGGGCAAAAGAAGGGTGCCAACTGCCAAAATGTCACATCCCAGTTACATAGGACTACTCGTACAAATATACTGGCATTTCCAGTTGTGTCAACTTTCTTGTATAATGTGAACAGATATACAATACTGTATTTAAATATGGAATAATTGACAACAATTTGGAAATCCACTACTGTGTGGTCATGAAGTTTTGTTTCACCATGCGACACAATATGGGTCAGTGCTGTGTCCATGGATCACTCGTCAATGATGTTAGCCATGTCCGAGAATTAAATTCGGGTCACCAGATTTATAATGCTATGCGCTGACTACTGTGTCACCGCTCTCCCACATATATAAATCAAATAAATAAATAGACAATGTCGACTTCACATATCCACCTCTCTACACAACAGAATGAAAGCATTTCTCACACAACCCAACAGTTGCACAGCAATTTGGAAGTGTGTAATATCAGCACCATTGTTTGAAGATAAATCAAAGTCATGGCCGGGTTTCAACGCACAGTGTCTCATCAGCAGTCAGGCTTGCCTGAATCATGCTTGTGACCTGCCGATCTTACAAGCAAGGACCCACCCTCACCTTAAGTTACATAACACCAGATTGATGTAAAATTATATAATGCTGAACTCAAAATAATAATTTACGTCTTTGTAGAGAATATAAATATTTAACTAATTAGATATTTGCTATTCATATTCTCCAGAACAAGTCTAATTATTAATTTGAGACGCATATAAATATATCAACTTGATAACCAAGTGAGAGCTCATTGAGACAAAATACCCTTTTGCATGGAAGACCTGGGGTACAAAATTATACACTGAAAACAACATGCAAAAACAATCCTCCACATTGGAATAGTTTCAGTGCTACGATATAACATCAGCCACTACAATACATGTCGTTTTGAGCGAGGTTTGCTCTCCAGCAAGCAGTCAGCCAGTCAGTCAGTGTCCTTTATTTAACCAGGAGCTGAAATAAACCCATTGAGACACGTGAAACATTGCCTCTTTTACAAGGGCGACCATCCGAACAAAACTCGTCCATAGCCATGGTGACCTAATTTCGCACCAAACGAAAGTGGAAGGCACTGCAAGTTACAGAGGATGTCAGAATGCACAACCCTACTGCAAAAACCACCTCACCTCATACATATAATATGCAGGCAATGCATTTCAAGGGCTATTAATTATCTACAAAACAAAAAAACCTAAGACATCTTTTGGAATGATTTCTAGATGCAAAAACCCTAACTTACCTATGACCAAATTACTAGGAATGCACATGATCTCATAAGATCTTGCAAGCTAAGCAATGTGGAGCCTGGATAGTGCTTGGATAGATGACTACCATGAATAAGACAGGTGTTATTGTAAGCTGTGGGAATACATTATGAGTTTCAGTGGGCACTGCAGCAACAAAATGTGCTGAATTGTTTATGCTCCCATGTTTCTGCTTCCCACCTTCAAAATCCTTCACTGTCCAGCATGGAGAAGTATGGTCAAAAAACCCTCACGACCCATACGGCGTGGCAATGCCCTCATCAACCAGTGTATTGACAATTGAGATGCATATGCACTCACGTCTAATATTGCCGTGGTGTTCTTTATTTCTTATTTGATTCGTGGCATTTTATGCATTTTATTTTGATGTTAACAGTGACAGAACACTGTGAAAAAGCACTCGGTCACAGTGTCTGCCTCAAACGCAAAGCGCGCATCGTGCTGCTTCATATTAAACCCATCGCGTTTTAAATAATGCAAATGCCACGTCATGCATAATCCATTATCTGTGCTTCACCATGGGTGATACGACCTTAACTTTTCAGCGCAGTGGTAGTTGCTAAGCAGTTCCGGTGCGGTTACAATCCCTGCCATGCAGACACCCAACTACTATGCTAATCCAATTTTGAATGCCAAGTTAAGCGACACGCAGGGTCGCCCACACATAAAATCGGGGCTCATGAGCTGAAATGGGACCCCGACGAATGAATGGGACCCTCTGTCCAATTTCCCTCCCTATTTAGTTTCTTCAGCACCTGGGATCCTCCAGTCGGTGGGCCCTTGTGCAGTTACACTTTTACAGTACCTCCGATTAGCACGGTTGGCGAGGTAAGGTGCGAAAAAAGTATTTGATCCCCTGCTGCTTTTGTACGTTTGCCCACTGACATAGAAATTATCAGTCTATAATTTCAATGGTAGGTTTATTTGAACAGTGAGAGACAGAAAAACAACAAAATCCTGAAAAACGCATGTCAAAAATGTAATAAATTGATTGGAATTTTAATGAGGGAAATAAGTATTTGACCCCCTCTCAATCAGAAAGATTTCTGGCTCCCAGGTGTCTTTTATACAGGTAATGAGCTGAGATTAGGAGCACACTCTTAAAGGGAGTGCTCCTAATCTCAGCTTGTTACCTGTATAAAAGGCACCTGTCCACAGAAGCAAGCAATCAATCAGATTCCAAACTCTCCACCATGGCCAAGACCAAAGATCTCCAAGGATGTCGGGGACAAGATTATAGACCTACACAAGGCTGGAATGGGCTACATGACCATTGCCAAGCAGCTTGGTGAGAAGGTGACAACATCTTATTTGGTTCTTTCGGTAAAGTCACGTAGAATGAGAATAAAATAATAAAATAACACAATAAAATTGGTGCGGTTATTCGCAAATGGAAGAAACACAAAAGAACTGTCAATCTCCCTCGGCCTGGGGCTCCATGCAAGATCACACCTCGTGGAGTTGCAATGATCATGAGAATGGTGAGGAATCAGCCCAGAACTACACGGGAGGATCTTGTCAATGATCTCAAGGCAGCTGGGACCATAGTCACCAAGAAAACAATTGGTAACACACTACGCCGTAAAGGACTGAAATCCTGCAGCGCCCGCAAGGTCCCCCTGCTCAAGAAAGCACATATACATGCCCGTCTGAAGTTTGCCAATGAACATCTGAATGATTCAGAGGACAACTGGGTGAAAGTGTTGTGGTCAAATGAGACCAAAATGGAGCTCATTGGCATCAACTCAACTCGCCATGTTTGGAGGAGGAGGAATGCTGCCTATGACCCCAAGAACACCATCCCCACCGTCAAACATGGAGGTGGAAACATGCTTAGGGGGTGTTTTTCTGCTAAGGGGACAGGACAACTTCACCGCATCAAAGGGACGATGGACGGGGCCATGTACCATCAAATCTTGGGTGAGAACCTCCTTCCCTCAGCCAGGGTATTGAAAATGGATCGTGGATGGGTATTCCAGCATGACAATGACCCAAAGCACACGGCCAAGGCAACAAAGGAGTGGCTCAAGAAGAAGCACATTAAGGTCCTGGAGTGGCCTAGCCAGTCTCCAGACCTTAATCCCATACAAAATCTGTGGAGGGAGCTGAAGGTTCGAGTTGCCAAACGTCAGCCTCGAAACCTTAATGACTTGGAGAAGATCTGCAAAGAGGAGTGGGACAAAATCCCCCCTGAAATGTGTGCAAACCTGCTGGCCAACTACAAGAAACGTCTGACCTCTGTGATTGCCAACAAGGGTTTTGCCACCAAGTACTAAGTCATGTTTTGCAGAGGGGTCAAATACTTATTTCCCTCATTAAAATGCAAATCAATTTATAACATTTTTGACATGGGTTTTTCTGGATTTTTTTGTTGTTATTCTGTCTCTCA